GGCTGTTAGAAGGTTAGGAAATCCAGAAAAAGAAGGGAAGAACAAAAAATAGAAGAGATGGGTAAAAGGAGTGAGGGCAAGCAGAAAGAGCACGAGTAGGAAATAAAAGAAAGAAGAGAAAGACGAAATGGTTGGTACAGAAAGAATAGAATAAAGGAAGTGTAATGACAGAAAGTCTGACAATGAAAACAAATTTGAACGGAGAAACGAACACTGTAGTGTAATCAATAATATACGTGTGATGTACAGAATGTAGTGTAATCAATAATATACGTGTGATGTACAGAATGTAGTGTAATCAATAATATACGTGTGATGTACAGAATGTAGTGTAATCAATAATATACGTACGTTACACTACATTCTGTACATCACACGTATATTATTGATTACACTACATTCTGTACATCACACGTACGTATATTATTGATTACACTACATTCTGTACATCACACGTATATTATTGAGTGATGTACAGAATGTAGTGTAATCAATAATATACGTGTGATGTACAGAATTTTTCTCTCACAATGATTCTGTATTTATGCAGTGTTTTAAACATATATAATCTAATTCGTATTATTGTGATTTATTTAGTTGATAAATTGTTTAATAAACGAATGTGAAGCCCATCACTCATCTGATTTATCTTTGTATTATTCTAGTTTGCATTTCGAACTGGACAGTGGAGGTACTTTTCTCTTATAAAAAAATGTCACGTTAATAAAACTAGATGTTGGCTTAGTGTGTATTTGGAGTAACAGATGTGATTTAATTACAAAGTTTATAAGATCATTGTTTTTTTACCTCTAGTATTACTTCCAACTTTGCAAAAGAAGCTGAATTTAATCGTGCTTTGGACCAGAGTAAACACTAGTGTTTTGACTGTAATAAGTCCAGCTTCCATTCTGTCTATTTCCAAAATACCAGACGAATTGAAGATATCAAAAAAGTCGTCAAATGGTACTTATATTTGTTCACATAATAATAAATTTAAATAAGGAATTAAGAAATTTGAAATAAAAAAATGTTCCAATTATTTAATTTCAGAAAATAGTACCGTAATACTGATCCCCATGTTCCAATTCTGATCTAAGGTATTTTAGATACTCAGTTGACATAACTCTAAGAAAAATATATAATTACAGATATTGATCAGCAATCTCTATTGTGTACATGATATGAATCTTTTTAAACAGGTTGATGTTAGGTATATTCAATCTAATACGACACATGGGTCGTGTACATGATATGAATCTTTTTAAACAGGCTGATATTAGGTATATTCAATCTAATACGACACATGGGTCGTGTACATGATATGAATCTTTTTAAACAGGCTGATATTAGGTATATTCAATCTAATACGACACATGGGTCAAACGACCATGTCACAGTACAGCCATCATTGCTTTACAAGTGGAGCCAATTAATCAGCAGCACGTACCTCCTATACACTTCTAAGAGTTTCATGTTTTTGATGAAGAATGTTATGTCACAGATGAACTCGGGCCTATAAAATTCCTTACCACAGTATAAAACGAAACATGGTTCTTATGGGGGAATTGCTCACCATGACCTTCTGTGGTAGGGAACCATTCAACAACAACCCTTGGGCTGTTGTTTAAAAACAAGTAGTAGTAGACTTTTAACATTATAAAACCCCACTACTGCGGATAAAGAGGTGATAATACTTTACGCTGGATTTTCATTCCTCGCCCTAGTCACCAAACCATGCCAGGATCCTATTAATTTCGTACAGAACATATTTATTTGTGTAATTTTTCAATACAGTTTGAATTTTCTTGATGTTTCGTTCTTATTTTATTTCTGATTATTTATTTTGGTCACACAATAAGTAGATAACGTTGTATTTTGTACTATATTATTTTCTAATTAATTGCTATAGTATCCGATATTAATTCACATTGTGTGTTAGTTTGGTTCTATATCCGTGAACGTCAACTCCAGTCTTAAAGCGTACAGCCACAAACTTGGTAGCGGAATCGGAGTGCTGTTGGGGGTGTACTTACCTATATCGCGTTTCACCCCTACCTGTTTCTATTCTCCACACTGTCATAGATTAGATATGTCATTATGTAATCAGCTTGTCTTATTAGGTGTGTAATTCTGTAGAAATAATTTTATCGTTCGGTGATCATCGTTATTCTTAGTGTAACAAAAATGTTATATATAATTTAAGGATCATATAAAATTGATTTATTTAACGATGTAATCAAAATAACCTAGAGCAAAATATATGTTTAAAAAGAATTCGAGTGTAAAGAATTTGATAAACAATCATGAGAAACACAGATGAAAAAAGCATTTATATAATGAGTTAGCACTAGCAATAATTTTTTTAACATGCCATAATTTACTAAAAGATCATTTGTCACATATTCTTTAAACGTTTAGGCCACAATCACAGTTCTGGCCATTTACATCACATAATCTGTTTTGAAAATCTAGAATCTTGTATAATGAAAAATTTCGAGTTCATAAGGCCATCAAGTGTGTTAAGAAACGGCCTATTCGGTAAATCTTCTTCAATAACAGCAACAGAGGTATGTTAACTATAGGAAATGAAGAGTTTCAATATCAAGCCATGGTGCCATACTGTAATCTTCTTCCCACTGATTTATCATTATGGATTATTTAGCAGATAAATTGTTTAATAAACGAATATGAAGTCAATCTCTCATTCGATTTATCACTTATCTCTGTATTATACCAGTTTGATTATCGAACTGGACAGTGGAGGTACCGGCGGTCTCTTACAGTCGACTTTGAAACGTTGTAACATATTTTTATGTTAATAAAACTAGACATTGGCTTCAGATATATTTCGATGTGATTTAATAATAAGGTAAACACAAAGATAACCAATGAGCTATCTATACAGTGACAGCCACGAGTATCGAAACTTGGTATTTAGTCTTGCCCTGAGCCACTAGGAGACAAATCATAAAAGTATACATGTTACTTGTGTTATGCTCTCTCGTATTAATTCCCTCTTTAGGAAACGAAATAGAGGTTAAATTCAATCTTGTTGATAAATATTTGTGGTAGGCTAAACAAAGTTGCGTGATAGGTAGCAATATTTTTCAGTTCTTTGTTGAGCCTTATATTAAATCGTAACGTAAAGCAAAAAGAACGAAAATCTCATGTGTATTTTTTATCATTGATTGGTAATAATAAAGGCTCTGAAAAGGGTGATTCTTCACTTGTTGAGTATGTTAACAATATAAACCGTGAGTTATTATGTATGTTAGCAATATAAACCATGAGGTATTGAGTATGTTAACAATATAAACCATGAGGTATTGAGTAAGTTAACAATATAAACCATGAGTTATTGTGTGTGTTAACAATATAAACCATGAGTTATTGAGTATGTTAACAATATAAACCATGAGTTATTGTGTGTGTGTTAACAATATAAACCATGAGGTATTGAGTATGTTAACAATATAAACCATGAGGTATTGAGTATGTTAACAATATAAACCATGAGTTATTGTGTGTGTTAACAATAGAAACCATGAGTTATTGAGTATGTTAACAATATAAACCATGAGGTATTGAGTAAGTTAACAATATAAACCATGAGTTATTGAGTAAGTTAACAATATAAACCATGAGTTATTGAGTAAGTTAACAATATAAACCATGAGTTATTGTGTATGTTAGTAATATAAACCATGAGTTATCGTGTGTGTGTTAACAATATAAACCATGAGGCATTGAGTAGGTTAACAATATAAACCATGAGTTATTGTGTATGTTAACAATATAAACCATGAGGTATTGTGTGTGTTAACAATATAAACCATGAGTTACTATGTGTGCTATTCCAACATGGTACTTTTATTTGTGCATGCTGTCAACAACCGTTGCAGTTCATATATGATAACAATACATACAATGCTGCTTTCCATGTGTATTGTATGTATATCGTCTTGGACCAATAATTTTGTACCGAGTATCGTCACATTAAAACCTGTCATGTAGTCATTTCATGTTCTTTATTTGTGTATAAAGATGTAAAAAGAAACTAAGGACTACACTGTACCAAGGAAAGTATTGTAATCACTCTTTTTTATATGAGTTTGACTACATGTACAAAATCTAAATCTGCATCATATTAAAGCATGATGTTTTAGGCCTATTCTGCTAATCTGATTTTGCTTCACAAAGTTCTAAAAACTAATCTACATCATTCTAAAGTATGATGTTTTAGGCCTATTCTGCTAATCTGATTTTGCTTACAAAGTTGTAAAAACTAATCTACATCATTCTAAAGTATGATGTTTTAGGCCTATTCTGCTAATCTGATTTTGCTTACACAGTTCTAAAAACTAATCTACATCATTCTAAAGTATGATGTTTTAGGCCTATTCTGCTAATCTGAGTTTGTCTGGAAAGGCATCAAAATCCAACAGCATATTAAAGCATGGTGTTATAGCTATTTTTCCTGAGCTGAATTTATCTATATAGACATAAATACTTAAGCCTATATCATATCAAAGCATGGTGTTATAGTTATTTTTCCTGATCTGAGTTTATCTATATAGGCATAATATATAGTATACATCATATTAATGCATGGTGTTGTGGCTATTCTTTCTGATCTGAGTTTATCTATATAGGCATAATATCTAGTATACATCATATTAATGCATGGTGTTGTGACTATTCTTCCTTATCTGAGTTTATCTATATAGGCATAATATCTAGTATACATCATATTAATGCATGGTATTGTGGCTATTCTTCCTGATCTGAGTTTATCTATATAGGCATAATATGTAGCATACATCATATTAATGCATGGTGTTGTGACTATTCTTCCTTATCTGAGTTTATCTATATAGTCATAATACACCATGCTTTAATATTATGTAGGTTTCGGGTTTTCATGTCTATATAGATAAACTCAGATCAGGAAGAATAGCTATAACACCATGCTTTAATATGATGTATACTAGATCATAGCTATTCTTCCTGATCTGAGTTTATCTATATAGACATGAAAACCCGAAACCTACATAATATTAAAGCATGGTGTTATAGCTATTCTTCCTACTCTAATTATCAAGATTTGATAATGTCTGGTGATAGTTTGATGTGTTAATAAAGGCACACCTAGTGCTACTGGAGCAGCTTGGTATGTATCACTTGTAGCTTAACCTTTGATACAAAGTTTTTCACATGTGAAACTAATTATTGCTAAACAAAACCCGCCAAGTAACAAGATGAAGACACCTTGAAGATCATCTAGAGAGAGAGCGTTAGTTTCTTCTGCTTTTCTTCCTAAGCACTTGGTATAGTTTCCAATGTAGTTGTTAACTGTAGCCGAAAGCAAGTGACTTTCCACCAAAGATGCAATCCTGAAAATAATTAACATTTCTTAGTAAATTACCTACAGAACTGATATTAAAAGTTACACATATACTCGCAGTACCTCAAGAAGTCGACAGTTTTCTAACTAAGCATTTCCAAGTTTACCATTGTAGCCACTTCAACCTTGATTATCATGTAAAATTCTGAAATACGTATCGTATTATGTGGTTTGATCTTTCCAATCATTAATTAGTCAGTACCATGATGATTCACAAATTTACTGCTTGTCGACCTCAATAAAATGGTGGATTCGCGTGCAGTGTATTAACTCATTGTTCACGAAGTTGCCAAATTCAAAAACTGTTCGTGATAAATTCACGTGTTACGTGTATGTAAATACTTAGAATTGCTTATCCAGATAGAGTTTTGGAACACTGAACTTCTATGGTGAATGAGTTAAACTGCATGACAAAAGTGAATTTATATTACAGAAGTTCAGAAGTTTAACTACGGCAAGCATCAACTACGATACTTTTCAAAGATTGTTCTAATGTCTTTATCAACCAGAAAGAAATTCTCAAATGTGCAAAGTTTTCATTAAGTTACTCTGATTAAAACTGTAATAGACCTTGTTCACTAGAATTGAACAGGAATTAGATATATTATATATATTTATATACAATTACACCTGAATGTAGTTCCAGAACTCGGTGTTATTAGTAGGGTACACGTTTTACGTGTTTTGTTTTCAGAAACACTGTAGCGTAGGTACGCTTTTTATCTACAAATCGTTCTCCTACGATCACATACGTACAATACTTTCTTAAAACAGTCGATGAAGACTTATGTTCAATATTGTTACAATCCTTTGAAACAATGCTAGGTCTTCTTGCGTGAGGGCGTTCGTTCTGTCGGTTCCCACAATATCAACGAGTATTTGACAACAATAACAGATGTTAGGCCTATTGGTTTTCAATACCGCAACAATGAGAGCAACAGTTGTACGTTATATCATTTATAAATCCTAATGCAAAAATTTTGTTTTAAGACATAACGTGGATAAAATAATAATAATTCATGTTTACCTTTTCCTCAAGTTCAACGTTTATCGAACTTTGATCTTGAACATCGACTGTAAGTATACGATATTATATCTTCCTCAACTGTTATATTTCACTAAATAAAATAACTTCAGAATAATATGTTGCATCTCACTAATTCTTTTAATTCTTTCAAGGGCTCATAATGACCAGCTATAACCCATTCAAAGGCTCATAATAACAATCTATAGCGTCTTCAAGGGCTCATAATGACCATCTATAACCTCTTTAAGGGCTCATAATGACCATCTATAACCCCTTCAAAGGCTCATAATAACAATCTATAGCGTCTTCAAGGGCTCATAATGACCATCTATAACCTCTTTAAGGGCTCATAATAACAATCTATACCACCTTCAAGGGCTCATAATGACCATCTATAACCCCTTTAAGGGCTCATAATAACAATCTATACAACCTTCAAGGGCTCATAATGATCATCTATAACCCCTTCAAGGGCTCATAATAACAATCTATAGCGTCTTCAAGGGCTCATAATGACCATCTATAGCGTCTTCAAGGGCTCATAATGACCATCTATAACCCCTTCAAGGGCTCATAATGATCATCTATAACCCCTTCAAGGACTCATAATAACAATCTATAGCGTCTTCAAGGGCTCATAATGACCATCTATAACCCCTTCAAGGGCTCATAATGACCATCTATAACCCCTTTAAGGGCTCATAATAACAATCTATAGCGTCTTCAAGGGCTCATAATGATCATCTATAACCCCTAAAGGGCTCATAATGATCATATATAACCCCTTAAGGGCTCATAATAACAATGTATAGCGTCTTCAAGGGCTCATAATGACCATCTATAATCCCTTTAAGGGCTCATAATAACAATCTATAGCGTCTTTAAGGGTTCATAATAACAATCTAATAATCTCTTTAAGGGTTCATAATGCCCATTATAACTTCTTTAAGGGTTCATAATGCCCATTATAACTTCTTTAAGGGTTCATAATAACAATCTAATAATCTCTTTAAGGACTCATAATGCCCAATATAACCTCTTTAAGGGTTCATAATAACAATCTAATAATCTCTTTAAGGGCTCATAATGCCCATTAAAACCTCTTTAAGGGTTCATAATAACAATCTATAATCCCTTCGAGGGTTCATAATAACAATCTATAATCCCTTCGAGGG